AATTGTGTGGGCGAGGCTTGCTGATTTAAGATTAAAATGTTAACTAACGTATAGATTACTTTTTTAGTTTGTAGTGGTTTTGTTCATCCACCCGAATCCATTGCCGCTTTCTCATTTGTCTTGTTTCTTTTTTATGTTCTATAATTCTCATAAAGTAGTGTTTACTTTGGTCATTCCCATTCAAGGCATCTTGTCGTGTTGTTTTATGTTTTCACAAATCTTCACCTAAGCCGATAAATCTTTGTAAGGTTAGTTTATTTGTAATCGTCAACAACTTCCTTATCGACTGTCGGTCTTTTCTAATAGTTGTCAATCCTTTTTTGGCCGTTTTTATTCCAAGACTTTCCGAATTGTATTATTTTTTCGTTCCGTGGATGTAGAACAACTAGAACGAAATTCTACTTTTGTCGAATTTAAATCTAATCTAGCAAATGTGCTCTTCTTTCGTATTTCAAGCCTATTGTCAATATTCGGCTGGCTTTTCTTCAAATCATTGTCATAATCGAAGTCGTCTTCTATATGATCTAACTTCTCATTTTGTCGTGGTTTCATCTGTGCTTCCCCTTGTATTGTTTTCTATTATCACTAAACTAATATCATAAACCTGTTTTTTCTTCTATTTTTCTTCTTTTTTTCGTTTTCCATTACAATTTTCGAGTGTCTCTCCGGTTTGCAGAATTGTTCCTATCTTTATGCATCTTTCACCAACTTTCTTTGAGGACTACCAGCTAAGAACATTTTTCTTGTTTTCAATAAAAATTCTATTTTCAGTTGCCCAAAGCTCTAGAATATTTCAACCATTTTTTGGCAGTTGTCTTCAGTTTCAACTTTGTATTGACGTCTAAGTTCTTCTGGTTGTCCTCATTCAGGAGAGAATCCTTGAATTGTTTTTCCTTAGAACAGAATTCTTCCGAAATTACTCACTTTATTTAATTTGTTGCCAGAACGACCACTACAATAGGATTATTTTTTCTTGTTCTTCTTGTTCTTCTTTTCCTTTAAATTGGAATTCTCCTAGAAACGTTTTGAACTCCAATTAATTCTTTTACCTCTCTCGTTTAAAACAAAATTCTTCTAAAATGTTCTTGTTCTGAAATTATTTAATCAATCTTCCAGTGAAATCAGGGCTTGAAATATAAACTCTACCATTTCTTTTCATTCAAAATAGAATTCGTTAAACAATCTCAATCAACCATTGAAGGCGAAGTTCCTCTAAATCGTCCCTTTTCTGTATTGAACTTATGTAGAATCTTCTCCAAGTCACGCTATTTAAATTACTGTCTCAGTTTAAATGTCCTGCTAGATTATGGTTCTCCTATCTTTTCTATTTTGAAACAAAATTCTTCTAGATTCTAGATTCTTCTTAGACTGAAATCATTTCAACTATCTTCTAGTGAAACCAGGGCCTGAAGTATGTATAAGTTCTTTAATTTCTTTTCATTCAAAATAAATTTCGTTAATCAATCTCAGTCAATCATTGAAGATGAAATTCTTCTGAATCGTCCCTTTTCCATATTGAATTCCTATAGAATCTTATCTAATTAACGATATTTAAATTCTTGTCTTAATTTACTACATTTTCTCTTTTAAAATAGAATTTTCTAGAATCTTCTTGGATTGAGATTATTTTATCAACCTTCCAGACCCATCAAGGCCTGAAATATTAGTTCTTACATTTCTTTTCGATCAAAATAGCATTCTTTAACCAACCGCAATCAACCATTGAAAGCGACGTTTTTCTAGTTCGTCCCTTTTTTATATTGAACTTATGTACAATCTTCCTCAACTCAAGTTGTTTAAATTCTCGTCTCAGTTTAAATGTCCCGCTAGATTATAGATTCTTGTACCTCTTCTGTTTTGAAACAAAATTCTTCTAGATTCTTCTTGGACTGAAATTATCTCATCAATTTTATAGTGAAACCAGGGCTTGAAATATGTATAGGTTCTTTAATTTCTTTTCAATCAAAATAACTTCCGTTGATCAATCTCAATCAATCATTGAAGAAGAAATTCTTCTGAATCGTCCATTTTCCATATCGAATTCCAATAGAATCTCGTCTAATTCATGTTATTTAAATTCTTGTCTTAATTTAAATGTTAGAATATAAATTCTTCTACATTTTCTCTTTTAAAATAGAATTTTCTAGAATCTTCTTGGATTGAGATTATTTTATCAATCTTCCAGTCACATCAAGGCCGGAAATATTAGTTCTTATATTTCTTTTCGATCAAAATAGAATTCTTTAACCAACCTCAATCAATCATTGAAGGTAACGTTCTTCTAGATCGTCCCTTTTTTATATTGAACTTATGTACAATCTTCTCCAACTCAAGTTGTTTAAATTCTCGTCTCAGTTTAAATGTCCCGCAAGAATATAGATTCTTCCACCTCTTCTGTTTTGTAACAATATTCTTCTAGATTCTTCTTGGACTGAAATTATCTCATCAATCTTATAGTGAAACCAGGACTTGAAATATGTATAAGTTCTTTAATTTCTTTTCAATCAAAATGAAATTCGTTAATCAATCTCAATTAATCATTGAAGAAGAAATTGTTCTGAATCGTCCATTTTCCATATCGAATTCCAATAGAATCTCGTCTAATTCATGTTATTTAAATTCTTGTCTTAATTTAAATGTTACTGCCCATTCACAATGGACATAAGGCATAACAAGTACATAAAGTTTACATAAATACATAAAGTTGAAACGATGGAAAACGTATACCCCTGTTCACAGTGGACGAACGTAATTCTTGTGCTTATGAACGTTTTATGTAATCCTTGTGTGCGTACACAAAGTTGAAACAAGTTCAACTTTGTGCACGATTTATGTCAAAATTATGTTAAAATCTAGGGACTTTTGAATGCTGCTATTGAATTCCCTTTGACAGTTGGCACTTGGCACTTCACACCTTTGATTAAATTATATAAATTATAATCAAAGCTTCACACTGCGAGTCTGTTCTGTACTGCGAGTTGTCAAGTTCGAATATCGTATGAAATTGTAGGTTAGATATTTTGATTGACTCAGTTTGAGGTTAGCGGTTTCTATGTTTAGCCAGGAGTTATTCCGTTCTGCGTTTGCGCAGTTTAACAATTCTTACAGAGTTCACTCTGTCCACTGTGAACGTAGATAAGCATAAGCCAGACACAAACCAAAAACGTAAATTATGTTATGCTCTCGTTCTTATGTCTTATGTCCATTGTGAATGGGCAGTTAGAATATAAATTCTTCTACATTTTCTCTTTTAAAATAGAATTTTCTAGAATCTTCTTGGATTGAGATTATTTTATCAACCTTCCAGTCACATCAAGGCCGGAAATATTAGTTCTTATATTTCTTTTCGATCAAAATAGAATTCTTTAACCAACCTCAATCAATCATTGAAGGTAACGTTCTTCTAGATCGTTCCTTTTTTATATTGAACTTATGTACAATCTTCTCCAACTCAAATTGTTTAAATTCTCGTCTCAGTTTAAATGTCCTGCTAGAATTCTTCCACCTCTTCTGTTTTGTAACAAAATTCTTCTAGATTCTTCTTGGACTGAAATTATTTCATCAATCTTATAGTGAAACCAGAGCTTGAAATATGTATAAGTTCTTTAATTTCTTTTCAATCAAAATGAAATTCGTTAATCAATCTCAATTAATCATTGAAGAAGAAATTGTTCTGAATCGTCCATTTTCCGTATCGAATTCCAATAGAATATCCTCTAATTCATGTTATTTAAATGCTTGCCTTGATTTAAAGGCTGGAATATAAAAATTTGTCTACATTTTCTGTTTTAAAATAGAATTTTCTAGAATCTTTTTGGATTGAGATTATTTTATCAATCTTCCAGTCACATCAAGGCCTAAAATATTAGTTCTTACATTTCTTTTCGATCAAAATAGAATTCTTTAACCAACCTCAATCAATCATTGAAGGCGACATTCTTGTAGATCGTCCCTTTTCTATATTGAACTTATGTACAATCTTCTTCAACTCAAGTTATTTAAATTTTCGTCTCAGTTTAAATGTCCCGTTAGAATATATATTCTTCTACATCTTTTTTTTTTTTGAAACAAAATTATTCCAGATTCTGCGTGGACTGAAATTATTTCATCAATCTTCCAGTGAAACCAGGGCCTGAAATATGTATAAGTTCTTTCATTTCTTTCAATCAAAATAAATTTCGTTAATCAATCTCAATCAATCATTGAAGAAGAAATTCTTCTGAATCGACCATTTTCCATATCGAATTCCAATAGAATCTCCTCTAATTCATGTTATTTAAATTCTCATCTTAATTTAAATGCTAGAATATAAATTCTTCTACATTTTCTTTTTTAAAACAGAATTTTCTAGAATTTTCTTGGATTGAGATTATTCAATCAATCTTCCAGTGAAATATAAATTCTTTCATTTCTTTTCATTCAAATTTGAATTCGCTTATCAACCTCAATCAATCATAGAATTCTTCTGACTCACGTTATTTAAATTCTTGTCTCAATTTAAATGTTCCAGTAGAATATGAATTCTTCTATTTTTAATTATTTAATTCACAAATTATTTAATCAATCTTCTCCTGAAATATGTTTTCTTCCATTTTGTTTTTCGTTTTGATAGTTTTCATTCATTGACAGATCTGTTAAATTTTTAAATAGTAATGTAGTAGGGCGAAGTTTAATTATTTCATGAATAAATTGATAAATTAACAAGAACTTGATTTTGCAGCAGTATATAACGATTTTTTTTAATGTGTATTAATCTATATTAAAAAAACTAGATTAGAATTTTAAGACGTTAGTGTTTCTAGCAAATGAAATGCAAACTTTGTTGGTTTCACAGATTGAAAAAAAAATCCGGTCCATAACCTGCCATCAGACTTTACTCAACCAATTGAAACCCCACCTCTCCACGCCTTCTGTTTACCTCCGACACACGAAAATTAGCGCACGCTCGACATCGAAAGTAAAAGTCGCATTCCATCGACTCACCTCTGTTCCCTTTGCAGATGCGTCGTCGTCGAACGAAGCCGTCCACCTCCAGCAGCGCCTCCGCAGCCTCAGCACCGAGCTCGTGACCCTCCGCAACCGCCTCCATGTGCAGGGCGCGCCCGCCGCCCCCCTCAAGGGCTCCGCGCTACCGGTGCCGCTGCCGGGTAGCCAGCCCGTCGTGCCGCCCCGCAGCGTCCCGGCCGCTCCCGCGCCCGTGGTGGCCGTGCCCGAGTGCCGCCCCCTGGCGCCCACCGCCGGCGCCGACCTGGAAGACCTCATCCACCTGCAGGGGCCCCTCACCGAGGACGCGGTGATGAAGTGCCTGCAGGCGCGCTTCGCCGCTTCCAACTTCTACGTGAGTATTGGTCATTGAACAGAGCTGACCTTGGGCAGCACCTGTCGCGCTGCCTGGGGCCGGCCCTGTCCGATGGCCGTGAACTTGCCGACGAAACGGAGACGGGTTCCGAGGCATTTACATACGGGATTCGGTCCCGCACGGGACGCCAAGGGTGGGCTGGGGCTGTGGGAATTTGGGCGGGGTGTGGGGGGAAAGGGAGACGCTGCGGGGGATGGAAATGTTGTTAAAAGGGGCGGTTTGAGTAAACAATAGGAAATGGGGTTGCTTGTTCGGGGGCTCGATAAGTTTGCAGAAATAATACGGACGAATGGATTTTATAAAAGGCGACTTTAGTAAAAACAATGTGAATTAAATAACAAAAAGCTCTAAGGCAAATTATGGTAATTTGTTGTAATAAAATTAATAATTATTATGTTCGTTATAATTTAATGCATATTAAAATTCGACGCTTAAGAGCTAGACCATGTAAAATTTATATTAAAAAATTAAAAAGCAATTCTATTATTATTATTACTATTATTTTGAAAACTGACTAATGGACTAGGTCCAATTATAAGCCTAGTTGTCTATTTTTCTGCAAATTAGTCATTTGTGCTCTTATTTGGTAAAAATAATTTAAAGTCATCATCATATAATTAAGTATGGCACACTGAGAAAGTCAATAATATCATTTATGTAAATAGTAAAAAGTACCGGATTTAAAATCGAGTCTTGAGAAGCACTAGCGTACTTCATGAAATTAAACGATCCAAAAATTTCTACATTTGACTAACGGATGCCTGTCTTGAAGAATATGATGCAATAAGTCCGATAAAGTCATCAGAAAAAAACCAAAGGCAGAGAGTTTATTTAGAAATAGTTTATGATCAACACGATCAAATTCCTCTCAAACTTCAAAGTTCAGCGAGTCATAACTCCAGAACGGTTTAATTATCCATCTTATGATTGTTAGCATTCAATTCCTGGAAGTTTTCTGGTTCTATCGCCTAATTTTCAGACCGGGTACTGGAGAGATGAATATATATGGGACTATTGTCATTTATGAATTAAAAAAACAGTGTTTCAAAGTTTAGCGGGATATAACTCCAGATTTTGCGATTTTCAGTTGTCGATTCCCCAAAGTTTTCTAATCCTAGAAGCTAATTTTCAGACCAGATGCTCTACTAGTTTATAGAGACAAATGTGTATGGGACCGAGCATTTATGAATTAAAAAACAAATTTTTCAAAATTTAACGGGGCGGAACTCCAGATCGATTGAAGTGTCCTTCTTACGGTTTTCAGCATTCGATTCCTCAAAGTTTTCTAATCCTAGAACCTGATTTTTAGAGCGGAAACTCCTCTGGAAAGAGGAATATATATGGGACGGTTTTCATTTATGAATTAAAAAAAGTGTTTCAAAGTTTAGCGGGACATAATTCCAGAAAGATTTATCCGATTTTCAGACCAGATACCTACTCTAGTAGTTTTGTATGGAGAGATGAATGTATATGGGACGGGTCATTTATGAATTAAAAAACTAATTTTCAAACTTTAGCGGTACATAACTCTAAATTTAAATATCCGTTTTACGGTTTTCAGGATTCGGTTCTTAGAGGTTTTCTAATTCCAGAACCTGATTTTCAGATCAGGTACTCCACTGGAGAGACGAATATATATGGGACGGTTGTCATTTATGAATTAAAAAGTGTTTCAAAGTTTAGCGGGACATAATTTTAGAAAGATTTAAGTACTCATAATGCGGTTTTCGGATTTCGATTGCTGGAAGTTTTCTAATCGTCCAACCTGATTTTCAGTAGTTTAGTATGGAGAGACGAATGTATATGGGACGGGTAATTTTTGAATTAAAAAACAAATTTTCAAAATATAACGGGACACAACTCCAGACTGATTTAAGTATCCGCCTTACGGTTTTCAGTTTTTGGTTCCTAGATATTTTCTAATTCCAGTACCTGATTTTCAGACCAGGTGTTTTACTGGAGGGACGAATATATATGGGACAGTTTTCATTTATGAATTAAAAAACAATATTTCAAAGTTGAGTATGGGACGACGAAAGTATATAGTGTGGGTCATTCATGAATAAAATAACAATTTTTCAAAATTTAACGGGACGTAACTACAAATCGGTTTAAGCGTCCGTCTTACGGTTTTCAGCATTCGATTCCTAAAAGTTTTCTAATCCTAGAACCTGATTTTTAAACCGAATAGGAATATATATGGGACGGGATTCATTTATCAATTAAAAAAAAGTGTTTCAAAGTTTAGCAGGACATAATTCCAGAAAAGGTTGAAGTGTCCGTCTTATCATGGTTTTCGACATTGGAAGATTTTTTAATCCCAAAACCCGATTTTCAGGTCGGAATTTTTACTGGAGAGATGAATGTATATGGGACGGTTGTCATTTATGAATTAAAAAATAAATTTTTAAATTTTGGCAAGACGGTTTAAGTATTATAGTACTTTCCAAAAAGAGCGAAGGTGACCTAATAGTAGAAATCTGAAACGATTCTTCTGTTAATTTACTTTCCGAATTTAAAATATTACAGTTGCTGTCATTTCCGAAAAACTAATTGGTCGCATTTTTTTAACTACACGATACACAAAAACAGATTTAATTTCTGGTAGAGAAATGAGAATTTTGTAATTCAGCTCCGCCCTCTTGGCTAGCGACGAATAAAAAAAATCATTACAATTGTCATAGGGCGGGTGGGCGGGGCTACATTTTGCTTTTTTTTCTTAATATGTGTAGACTTCTTTCCAAAACAAATGTAAATTTTTGTTGCTAAATGTGGATTTTGTAATTATGTTCCTCCTTTCGCTCTCACAACGAATGAAAAATTAATTAAAAATGATATTAAAGTGGGTTTGGGTGGAGTTTAATCTTTGGCTTTATTTTTTCTTAATATACATAGCATTCTTTGAACAACACGATACTCAAAAACATGTTTTCAATTTCTTGTAGAGAAATAAGAATTTTGCAATTAAGCTCCGTCCCCTTGGTTCACAACGAATAAAAAAAATCATTACAACTGAGAACTGAGTTAATATGTGTAGAGTTCTTTTCACAACAAGAAACTTAAAACATGCGCTACAGATTTCTTTGCGTTAATTAAAAATTTTTAATTTAAAACTTCAGTCTATACAAATAACTTAGAAACTAGAATGGAGCAGCTAAATTGGGACACTCGGTATACAAATGTCTGTACTATAATTGTGATTACAGTGAAGGTTTAATTTTTTAAATATGTAGGTATATATGTACCAGTTCTGATTTTTGTTTTTATATTTTTTTGTGATGCTTTTTATTTAGTTGCAAATATGGTCTTCATGACATAACACTACCATACCCAAAAATTGATATCAATTCTTGTTCACTGATTCCAATCTTTGCTGTCCAAGACATAATCGATGACGACTGAAATATTTGTAATTTTTTTATTTTTAAATCGATTTCACAGTTTTCGGTAAATTTTTAGTCCACTTAACCATTTCATTTTTCCTACGGGAACATCCATATATGACACTGATGTGCTCTGTGATACGATTACAGCGATTTTCAAGCAATTTCCTATTTATGTGAACAGGACATCGCCTGCGTTCTTGTAAATTGCCTGCGTTCTTGTAAATTGGATCTCCACATTTTCGATTATAACTTGACAAGTTTAAAAAAAAGGTCTTGAAAAAATGGGTTAAAAACTCTCGCTTTTACCCCGAGGCACTGTTGAAGTACACGACCTCTAAATTTTTCAAGTTATAAAGCTGTTATTTCCGTTTTTTGTAGCAGTCCTTGAATATCCTTTTCGCATTTCTGAGTTTTCTGGCAGTCTTAGATTCGATATCTGAAAAAGGATCGACACTGCTTTTATGATTATTATAGGACATCTCTTGAATTATTTTCGCGGTTATATTGCAAACTGCCTCGACAGATGTTTCTGTATAGGCTTTTCTTTCATCCTTCGGATGTTGACGCCCCAGTCTGCTAAAATATTTACAATTTTTTCATAACAGGAGTCGTCCTTAGTACACTTCTGTTTGTGATTACAATATTCTGCGATTTTCTTTCAAACCTTGAAGCTGAATCGATGCCTTTTGTAAACTTTTCCGTCTTCAAACAGAGAAAATTAATTAAAATATAATTTAATAAACTTCCGTTAAACACTGCCTCCGATTCTAACAACCTTATTTTTCTATACTAGTAGCTCTTAAATCAAATCCTCGGCGGTACACGAAATCGAGTGCGCTCGACTAGAACACACTCGACCACTATCAATATTCCCGCCCGAAAATACATCAAGAAGAAACCATGACGCAACAAAAAACTCCTTCAGCGGAATTACGCCGGAATTCCAGGCATCTCCGGCCCAATTCGGACAGTGGAAGCGGAACCGATTATTGAATTTCGCACGAGTGCGGGCCTAAACAGGGATTTGCCTTTAATTGAGTAGGAAAGCGCTTATCGCTGAAGAACATCTCCACTCAACGTCTCCGCCAAACCAGTTCCCGCTTTTGAGGCCGAAGATATCACTGATAAAAATTATTAATTGAGGAACCGCTGGGTGGGTTTGCATGTAACCGAACTAACCTTTGTGTTATTATAGAACGTCCCACGCAGATCCTGATTTATAGTCTGGCCTTTGATTTCGTTTAAGCACAATGAATGGACGCAGTTGAGCGGAAAACTTGTAACTTATTTAGTGTGCAGCTAGATGTACCAGTTGAATACTAAATAAGAGAAAGTGGGGGTTTTCCGGGAAAAATGAATTTAGCGGGGAAAACTTAGGACTACGGACGTGTTTAGGTCTTATTAACACTGAGGGAAAGCGGGGACAAACTAAAATAAAAGTTTCAAATACTTTCTGGAATGAGTGTGCTTCATTTAAAAAATATTTTACTTACGATCTGGAACCTTCGTGGTTATAATACGGCTGGAAATAAATGGAAATGACTGACATATTCGGTATTAACTTTTAGGACCCCCACAGAGTCAGTAACCGCAAACCTCAGTAAAAGTTTGTATACCGACAAGATTCTTTGCCTGCGAAGACATCAGTGCCGGACTCGATGAATTTGTAAACCTATTTAAGCATCACAGGTATTATTTATTAAACAAGACAGGCGATTTTGTAACATCCGACCTTGATTGTGCAAGTCTCCTCATCTGAACACTCTTTTAACTAGGTAGTAGTTCAACGTACTCTTTCCACGCACGATTTTTAAAGTGATTGGATCCGCTGAACAACGATGTCGCCCCAGCCTGTCAATTATCATATATAAATGATCCTTGATCTGACCTGAGAGGGTCAAAGATCACAGGAACCCAAAATTTCATCACAAAACAGTAAAATTCATATAAATATCTGCGCACCTCAATAAATCTATTCCAATTACTTGAAGGAAACAAATCACTCTTGGATTGGTTAATAATTACATCCACGCACATTAATCACACCGCTTGGGGCGATAATTACGCTTTTCTTTTTGTTACTAGTTGCGGCACTTAATTAAACACCTTCAGTGGATAATTTTCCTTGTTTTTGCTGAATTCATTCACGTATGGTAGTTAAAGGCCTGGCTGGACGTCACTAGTGAGTAGTTTACTCTTTGTCTAGGAAATTTAATTAAAGCAGATGTTTCTAGTGTTTGAAAAAATTGATAAATTTATTGGTTATGAAGGCCGTTTGTTTCATGGAATAATTCAGCTTGAATGAAATCACGTTTCCATTGCATGTATTTTACAATTAGGTTCAGTTTTGCAGATTCCTTTTGTTCATTTGTATTCAATGGCCATCCACTACATTCAATGAAAGTTGTATAGTTCATAACTAAATGAGCTTACAATATCCATCTGCTGGTTTTTGTTACAATGAAAAAATTTTCAGTTTCAGTTTCAGGGTAAACACGCACATCACGTGCTTTTATAATTTATCTAGTATTATAACTGTTCTAAAAAATAAAGAATGAACTAATTCGTGAATACAAATTAATGCAAAATAGTATTATTTTAACCTACATTTACCCCAAATGCAGGAATACACAGAAAGCGCAGCGTTTTCCCTAAAGCTATAAAATATTCACAACTTCGTTCATAAATCTGCATGCAGCGTTGTTATTTTCCAAAATAAAATACATTTCCGAACCATTAACTAAACTGCAACAACACGGTAGTTTATTTTGCTAAAATCACCTAAAACTAAATAAATTGCGTTGAAATATATAATCCCATCGATATTGTCCAAAACATGAAACCGCTGAAACAATTTTATTCGTTGATCACAGCATTTTTGTTCTTGCTAATAAATAATTAAATTTCAACTTATAACGTAATTATTGTCCGTCTTTACTTTCCAGGAGATGTTTTCAATTACACGAGAATATGTTATTAAACCCAACAATTTGGTACGGTTCTCCAACTTTAGTATTCACAAAATTTAATCAACATTTCCGCATCATGTTGTAACCAACTAAAATCGAGCTGACAAGACCAGATCCCACATGATGCTGCCTAGGCTAGTGTTAAATAAATTGAAGGCAAAGTTAAATTTTCACTAACAAAGTGATTATGGAGCACTAAACATAATAAAGTTTCGGTTTTTTTACAAAAAAATTGTAGCAGCTCTCATTGTTTTACGTCAACAGCCTTAGGTATTTCGTTATTCCAGTCACACCTCGTTAATTCGTTTTTCTACGAGTAAAGTATCATCAGGGATAAAAATTTCTTCAACTGTAAAACGAGTCGGACCCATCTCACAGGATTTATTCCACAACAGTAACAAAACGAAGTAAATTTCCTTTGTAGCCGATGCAGAATTACACGGAAAACTGAAGATGAAAGAGAGCTAAGCTCGAAATACGGAACAAAAATTTTGTGGATAAATACTAATTACACGATATAAATCTGTTGTTATTTCTTTGTGGTAATTGGGGGAATTCAAACGTCCCCCATTTAAAGCTCTTTGGAAGTTGTATTGAAAATCGAATTATTGTGTTTACCCCTGACATATCAAACGATAAAATCGTGCATGAAATGCACGATAAAGTGGCTTAAATGTCATCACAAAAATACGCTGGTCTGTTTGCAAATGGATTGTGTTATCTTTATTCGCTAAATGAATGAATTCTCCGCATTCAAAGACATAAAAAAGTCGTTAATTTGTATTTTAGCAGAAAATAGCTTTACGCTACATTTATTTCTGCCTGTTATAGCGTTCGATAAAAATTCGCAATTATTCCAAAGCCGGACAATATTGTCTGAAAAATGGTTAAAAGATGAACATTTGCAGAAACTAATTAAATTAACTTTAGCATGTGACGGTTTAAAATATTTCTAGTACTTCCCGTGACGCTTTGCCGTACTTATTTTAGCAAAGTTACAAATCTGTCCACAAAGAAAATGTGCCCGAATATGCAAATGTTCAACAAATACACCCCTGAATGCCGAAATATGCAAATGCAACTTTGGGTACAAAAACACGTTTAGCATGCTTTAAAAATACTCACTTCGTTACATACTCCATTTTTTTTAAATATACGTTTCACGTAAAATCCGAACTCAATTATGAGTGTTTTCCTAACGGGCGTCGACAGAATTAGGCCTTAAATATTCCCTCAAGCTCAGCGTAAAATGTTTGTTTAAAAGGAATGTACATTCCCGAAATCAATATTTACACGACGCTTTTAGCGTGGGTGTCGCGAAATTTGTTATTATCTATTTATTCCAAGAAACGGATTTTCCTCCCACTTAAGGTGGAACTCTAGACCAATAAGTGAGTTTGAATTAGGCGCCATTTCTTGCCCTAAATGCGTCGCGCTCCTAGCGGCAAGACCCTGAACTAACCACTCAAACCGTGCTTTTTTACGACATTTCTCTGTCTTAGAACATGAAAAAAAAATTATTAATCCTCCTTTAGCGAGAACAATTGCTCATTTTGATAGGCAGACGAGCTTAAAAGAGAGCGCTCCTGCTGTAATTAATTCGCTATTTATAAATTCCTTCAGCGGACACTCGGAATTGCAGTAAAAAATACAAACTCGAAGCCCATAACCGACGTCTCCTCTCACTTACCTTCGTTAATTAAATAAGACCGTACCGGATATATTTATGGGAATGGGGTCATATAATTTTCATTAAAATTTTAAATGCAATTCCGCCTTATGAGTTAAGTGCCAATTATGGAGTGGAATAATACCGAGAATTTATGGAGTTTACGAACAATTTCAGCGTTTTTTAGAGGGCGCTGTGGCTGTGTTGTTTATCGCGGCGAAAATTGTAGCGAATTCCCTAATTGATTTATCCCCTGTAGAAAATTAATGACGTCACCGCAAACATTTGTTAATTAAATGTTTGAACCCCCACTTGTTCGAGAAAATCAGAACTGAAAAATTTCCCCCTTTGAGTGAAAAATTGCGCGCAGAAGTGATGATTCTGTAAAGTAAACAAAGTTTTAATAAACGGAATTAACACTTTCTTGTTCCCCGGATTTAATAAAGTTAAACAGGATAACTGAAAGCAAGCATTAATTTATTAGTCTTTTAATGCGGATCTGCACCCCGGAACTAATTAAAAAATTACCCGGAACATGACGTGGTTGGAGCTTTATTCACGAGTTTGGATTTATATAAATTACGGTTTATTTAGACATTTCACACTAGACTTGGAGCTTCAACACTGGAAATAGATTAATCGCTAACTTTCAGGTCCGAGATAATCTCTTTACACACCCTCTACCTAACAGTGGAAAAACCCAAGGGACTGCTTTAGGGAGTCTGTGTGGGTATTGTTTAACGCATTTTATTGGTTATTACGGACGGATGGAGTGTTAACATCAAAATTTATTAAACTTGTAAGTTATCCCATTATTCGTGTTTTTGGTTTAAATATTGTGTTCAAAATCGAATGGAGGAAAAGTTTTCAGGTTAATTATGTTGAAATTACACAAGAACTCCAAACATGCAGCAGTTACATCAAAACAAGAGCTTTTGTGTTGTTTCCTGGTATTTTATTTCGGATTTGGATTTCGAGTCAAAGGGCGAAAAACTCATTTATGCTTAATATGTATTTACAAATTACGAAACCCACACGGGAAACCGAGACATCGGAGTACCAAAAAATAATAATAATATTAAAACGTTTGCAAGATATCAAAACATTCCTTTTTACAATTTCAAAGTTAAGTTGTGATATATTTTTCTTTTCAAGATCTAGATGCCTCGACACGGATTCATAAACCACAAGTAGATTAATTTTTAAGAAACTTTGTTGAATACTTGGATAACGTTCGTTCTCTACCGCGATCAGTCTCTAGCAGTCCGTTTCCTTACAGACCAACGTGGGACCCATCCTGCTCTGCGTGAACCCGTACCGAGACGTCGGCAACCCGTTGACTCTGAGCAGTACCCGCGGCCTGGCCTTGAGCCCTCAACTCAACAGGGTGGTTCAGGAAGCTGTCAGACAACAATCCGAAACGGGTTATCCCCAAGCAATCATACTTTCAGGTAAGTGTCGCCGCGGCTAAAGAACCACTTAATGAATCCACCATTACAGGAACCAGCGGCTCGGGCAAGAGCCATGCCTCAATGTTGTTATTGCGGCAACTTTTTGCGGTGGCAGGCGGAGGTCCGGAGACGGACGCCTTCAAGCACTTAGCGGCGGCCTTTACAGTATTACGTTCCTTAGGCTCGGCCAAAACGGCCACCAACTCCGAATCCAGTCGCATCGTACGTTGGTCGCCCGTTCGCGAATTTTCGATAAATGGGTTGTTTGTAGGGTCAGTTCATCGAGGTGCAAGTGACGGACGGGGCCTTGTACAGGACGAAAATCCACTGCTACTTCTTGGACCAAACCAGGGTGATCCGGCCGCTGGCCGGCGAGAAGAACTACCACATTTTCTACCAGATGCTCGCCGGGCTGTCGTCGGAGGAGCGCAGCAAGCTGAATCTGGACGGACACACCCCTGGAAGTCTGAGGTACCTGCAACACGGCGATACGCGCCAAGATCTCGCCGAGGACTCCTCGAGGTGACTCATTCATTCATGGTCGCTGCAGACTGGTTTGCCGCACAGGCCAGAGACGGAATGAGGGATTTTCGCCTCTACTGGTCTCCGCGGCAAACCAGTTCACGCGACGTCACCGCTTCTCTCCGAAACACGCCCAACTTTCAATTTCAGGTTTCAGACCTGGAAGACCTGTTTGGGCATCCTCGGCATTCCGTTCTTGGACGTGGTGCGGGTGCTCGCGGCCGTCCTTCTCTTGGGTAACGTGCAATTCATAGACGGGAAAGGTCTCGAGGTGGACGTGAAGGGCGAGACCGAGCTCAACGCCGTGGCCGGTCTGCTCGGGGTGTCGGGGGCGGCGCTCTTCCGCGGCCTCACCTCCCGCACCCACAACGCCCGCGGCCAGCTCGTCAAGTCCGTCTGCGACGCCAACATGTCTAACATGACCCGGGACTGTCTCGCCAAGGCGCTGTACTGCCGCACCGTCGCCACCATCGTGCGGAGAGCCAACAGTCTGAAGCGTCTCGGGTCTACATTGGGCACGCTCAGCTCGGACTCCAACGAGTCGGTGCACAACCAGGCGGAGGTGACCAGCCAGCATGCGTCGACGGTCGGGGGAAGCACCAACGCCGGTAGCAAGTCGATGGCCGCGCTCAACAACGCCGTGCGCCACGCCACGGACGGGTTCATCGGGATCTTGGACATGTTCGGGTTCGAGGACCCCAAGCCCAGCCAGCTGGAGCACCTGTGCATCAACCTGTGCGCCGAGACCATGCAGCACTTCTACAACACGCACATCTTCAAGTCGAGCATCGAGTCGTGCCGGGATGAGGGCATCAACTGCGAGGTGGAGGTCGACTACGTGGACAACGTGCCGTGCATCGACTTGATCTCGTCGCTGCGCACGGGTCTGCTGAGCATGCTGGACGTGGAGTGCTCCATCAGGGGCACGGCCGAGTCGTACGTGGCCAAGATCAAGGTAATAATAATAGTAGGAATAACACAAATCCAGGTAATTAGCCAATTTTTCCTTGAACTTTTGGGCCACTATTGAGAATTGTTGAAGAAAAAGCATCGGTGACCAGTCGGCGACTAGAGCGCGGTCATCTGGTTGTTGTTGACTTAGCACACAATAACGCTCTGAATTCCATATTTGCATTTTCATACAATAAGCCATAATAATAACAGGTTATGGGCCCAGATTGAACGCTGGGTACTGTGCTTCTGAACTTAAGTTGCATAATATAATACGCTGTGTTACAATGGATCATGTTGCTGCATGGTTTATCTAGTAGTTTTGACAATTTTTGAAGCAATGATGGCAAGGAAAAATAGTTCTTGGAAGAAATCATCAAGACAATCATTCAGGCTATATCAGATTTCAAAGAGGGACAGCAACACTTGCCACAATATTCAAAGCAATTTACAAGGTTATCACAGATGAACGTCGTTGAAAAATGACTAGCTAAGGCATTGCCAGTTTTTTGTTGTCCTATTGAGGAGAGTACCGGGCTAATTTTTCTTGAATGTTAATTCCCTGTGTGTATTTCCCTACAAGCTATAATAACAAGAACTTCATCGCAGGTTCAACACAAACACAACACCCGACTATTTGAGCCCAAACCTGTGGACCCCCGCCTCTTCGGCATCCAGCACTTCGCCGGCCGGGTGGTCTACGACGCAAGCGACTTCTTGGACACCAACAAGGACGTGGTCCCGGATGACCTGGTGGCCGTCTTTTACAAGCACAACTGTAACTTCGGCTTCGCCACGCATCTCTTCGGTAGCGAACTGAAGGCGCTCTATTCCGTCGAGAGCGTGCCTCGAGGGGTTAGCTTCCGGATATCCCCCACGTCTCACACCGACCTCTTGAACGGCGACGAGCCCGTGTCCACTCTCACCCAGGACTTCCACACCCGCCTCGACAATCTCCTGCGGACTCTCGTTCACGCTAGGCCCCATTTCGTGCGGTGCATTCGCAGCAACTCCCAAGAGACTCCCAACAGGTACGACCGCGGAACCGTCGTCCGACAAATCCGATCCTTACAAGTCCTGGAAACTGTTAACCTGATGGCTGGGGGGTACCCACACAGGATGCGCTTCAAGGCGTTCAACGCCAGGTACCGCCTCCTGGCGCCGTTCGCGCGGCTGCACCGAACCGACGACAAAGTCACCGAGGATTGTCACCTGATCCTTCAGTACGTGGTGGACCTGATCTCCAAGCAGCACAATAGCTTGGTGTCGACGAGTTGGGCGCTGGGCAAGCGCCACATTTTTCTGAGTGAGGGGATTCGGCAGCACTTGGAGAACCTTCGGACGGAGACCCGACAGAAGGCGGCTACGTTGATTCAGTCGACGTGGCGGGGGTGGCACTGTCGGTACCGGTGGGCGGCGCTGCGTCGGGAGAAGGAGCACAAGTCTGCCTCGGCTTCCACTACGCTCAATAATCGGACACCGATCGGGGGGGCTATCGCCAGGCCGCGACCTCAACCCATCGCGGGCACGCCGCCCCCGGATCCCAACGAGAAGTGCGACGCTAAGATCATCCAGCAGACTTGTAATTTGTTTGGGCTGGATTTGGAGCGGCCGCCTCCGGTGCCGCCGAGTCGTTCCTACACCGTCTCCGGCAACACCAAGCTTGGTTACCCCCAAACTCGCGTGATGAAGATGTCGTACCCTGAGGACTGCGGCGGGGACGGGCAGATTCTCATGAAGGGAGAGACTGTTTTAGTTGTAGGAGCTTCGCATCGACGAGGTCACTTGATCGTCGAGCACAAGCACTGTACTTTCCACGTGCCGTTCCAGTACTTGGAGCTGAAACAGAGTGTCAATATTTAAACTTGCCATTTTATGTAGGTTGTAAGTTGTAATATATTAGGTTTAGTAGACGAGTAGGTGTTTTCCTTTCTTACTTTTTGAGATGTGTTCATTGTATAGTAATGCCTCTGCAGCCATATTCTTGCAGGTACTCCTAAATGTAATTATATTTTATAAGACAGCCAAGACGTTGTGTACAAACCGTAACTTAAATATACATAAAACTGTCCTATTTAATTATATAATATATTTTTATACCTAGCCCACGGGTTTTATTCGCCCTGACTACGATAAACCCATGTACGCGTCCCCGCGAAACAATTTTATTACGTTGTAATTTTTCACTTAACTTAACCGAGTGAATGCGGAGGTATCTTTTCTCGTTAGACGCGAGGTGTAAAGATAACCGTTGTTGAAACAAGCTAATGTACTCAGGGAAATAAATTTTAATAAGCTTGTTCATTACCAACTATAAAGTATACGCAAAGTGCCAATGAAAATGAATCTTCCAAGATACACATAATCCTCCACATGAGGGAAATTCATTTTAAATTCTCGTGGTCGTAACCGAGACAAGACTAAGGAACTTTCCGTTTTTCCGAATAAGATTGTTATTTTCGAGCTTTTCAGTTGAATGAAAGGGAGAATGCGGACCTCGAGTGTCTCCAAACTGTTCGTTGATGCGCTCAACTTCCGTGGCGGTCGTTTCGTTTTACGAGTCTCACTTAAACGATTTTATAGTAATAAAGTCGTCCTAGCTGCGAAAATAATAACCTGTTTAAATTCAGGACAGTCTTACACAGCGTAAATAAAACCAAGTCAGTCAACAACGAGATTCGCTACAATATAATAACTTGTTTCTTTCGATTTATAAAGTACTTAATTAAATTTGTTGTTGAGAGTCCCCTTGGCAAATCAATTTTAGGATTTTACTATAGCACGAGGGTATTAGATTGCTCCGCCTCCTCGTTCCATGTTTCAAAGCTCAGCGTCACACTGTGCAATCTTGTGCATCCATAACCACTTTTAGTTCGAACTAGTGAAAAGTATGTGAAACTTGAAACAAAAGCCCCATCCTGGAGCTTTAGACACATACGCAATTAAGCAATAATTGTGTACCCGAAGAGCGGAGCGGAAGTTGCGGAGTAGTTGCGCTCAACAAGAATCGGATTATAGTGCCGTAATAGGATACGGTGTCTGAGTGCTCGCTACAAGAACTGCCGCTAGAGGATAATCTCTGCATTTCAAAGTTTTTACTAATAATAGGGAAGAGCTCTGAAAAATGCTGCCTCTGTTCCAATGAAGTCGCTTATTTGTGTCTTTGTGTCACGGTTTGGCCTTAATTTACGTTTTGGTCTCTTCCGTGCATGCGAATTTAACTACTGCTTGTTACTGTTTGAGCAAAGCAGCCTATTTTCGTCGATTTTCTTTGATCTCGTTCCTCGCGTATGCAACTTATTAAACACGCCGGTAGTCTGGCTGCAACAAGGGGGATCATTTTTTGAAATTTAATTAGGTTGAGTTAGTTTGTGGAATTATCCTTTAACTAACAAAGCACCACTAGTTAGAAGGAAGATTTTAATTATCAAGAACACGACTCACAGAGTGGAAATCAGCAGATTTTCGTTGGAATTGTGAAAACTGGCTGGGGCGAAGGTGAATAATACTTAGGAAAATGAAGCGATCGACGCTGTTCTTGTTTAAAGTAAAGTTTTATCTTGATGTAGCAAGATTTTGTGCTTTGGAGGAAAATTTGGCGACTGAGTTTCGTGTAATCCGGGCTGTAATTTTTAGGTGAATTACACAGAATCATCTCGGCGGAGCTTGTTTTTGTATGACAGTGACGCTTAAAGCAGACGAAATGTCACAATGTCAGAGGCAGAGTGTTTTCATCTCCCTAATGGTTCGCAAAAATAGCGACACGTTTTATGGAGTTTTGTTGAGGGCAATTTTTGCATTTCCTGCTCGTAACATGAATAAAATTATACTAAGTTTCAACTTTAGATACATTTTGCTGTTGTTGCAGTTGTCTACAAAACATACGCATATTTATTATATAAAGAGAAATATTATTGGGAAGTTAAAGCACATATTTTCAATAATAATGTTATGTTCATGTTATGGTCTGTATCACGTTTCCTGGTGTTTTCGTTTAATTATATATAAATATTCATTTAGTTTAGTGGGAATTTTAGCAAAAGCTGCTTAAAGTTACCCTAAGCCAATATTATTAGCAAGCCGAGTCGCCACTGACGGTATTTAGACGTTAACAGACACCCTGAAGTCAGTCACAGAACAGCTTAAAACCTCCCATGGTCGTGCACTGCGGTAACGAAACCCAAAGTTGAAAACTGGTTCCAAAAAATAGAAAATTATTGTGCCACGTCGAACATATTATTACTGATTCCAGAAGAATCTTCAATACAGACCTTTTTTCTTTTCGTATTCCCAAAAGGTAATAAAGTCATGGTCAAAACAGGATCCAAAAGTCTATATGATAAATCCGGGAACGATAAAGAATGTTACTGGTCCGTGGGTCCCTCCTATTATCATGTATAGGGGAAAGGTGCCTAAAATGATCCCCCTAAGGGAGAAATTCTTTAAAAAATACAAATTATTATTATTCATGTAAAACTGTAGCATTATTTGTAAGAACATTGATTTATCTAGGTAATAGTATGTGGCCGCCTGGAAGTATGCAACCAGTTATACATACATAATGCAGCCACCGGATTGGCAGTCACCACGCAAGCCCAAAGAGGAAACGCCACGGTGGAAACGTAAAACAGACTCTCTTCTTCTCCGACCATTCACCGGGTGCAGACGTCCTCTTCTTCTCCGACCACTCACCGTGTGCAGACGTCCTCTCCTCTTCAAGACCTCCACGTGGACATACACATACAACCTTGGGCCGTGTTATCATTTTGTAGTTGGTATTGTAAATAAACCTGTACTAAAACCGTTTCCGTTAGTAATTCGACGACAACAATTACAAGTATAAGCCAATTGGTGATTCGATAATTATAAAAAAAGTTATTAACGTTTTTCCAGGACCTTACAAAAGGATCATTTTAGGCATCCCCATAGGTAAAATGATCCCTCGGCATGGGCATAATGATCCCTTTGAATTTTGACCATAAGGGGACAGCATCAACAAGAAAATTCAAATCATGACATAACTGATAAATATTTTATTTCAAAAATTAACAAAAAAATAAATTCTTAAAAAAAATAAACAAAAAAAGTTTGAAAAGCACCGAAAATACGGGGTGTATAATTTCTGGAAGAGTTTGAGACAATACTTTAGTCATCAGTACGTGCTAAGATAAGACTAATTTTGCCAAATGGGATACCCTCCAAGAAAAGAGAGGGCGGGTGGGCGGGCCTACCACCTGCTAAGATAAAACTGAATTTGGCAAATGATATACCCTCTAAGAAAAGAGAGGGTGGGTGGGTGGGGCTAGTAACTGCTAAGATAAAACTGAATTTGGCAAATGATATAGCCTTTAAGAAAAGAGGGGGTGGGTGGGCGGGTCTACTCACTGCTAAGATAAAACTGAATTTGGCAAATGATATATCCTCTAAGAAAAGAGAGGGTGGGTGGGTGGGGCTAATACTTCCTAATATAAAACTGATTTTGGCAAATGAGATACCCTTTAAGAAAAGTGACGGCGGGTGACTGAGAATTTTCCAAAAATAGAACACGAAAATCCCTAAAATTCTTTTAAATTATTTAAATTTCCCCGTTTTAAGAGGTACTAGCTCCACCCACCCTCCCTCGCCTCTCTTAGAGGGTATTTCATTTGCGAAAATCAGTTTTATTTTAGCAGGTAGTAGGTGGGTGGGGCTAGTAACTGCTAAGATAAAACTGGTATTGGCAAATGGTATTCCCTCGAAGAAACTAAAGGGTGGGTGGGTGGGGTTAGAGGATATGTCATCTGCAAAAATCAGTCTTATCTTAGCAGGTAGTAGCCCCGCCCACCCACCCTCTCTTTTCTTGGAGGATATGTCATTTGCGAAAATCAGTCTAATCTTATTAGGTACTAGCCCTCTAAGAATATAAAGGGCGGATGGGCCGAGCTAGTGCTTGGCAAGATAAGGCTGATATTGGCAAATAACATACATTCTAAGAAAATAACGGGTGGGTGGGTGGGGTTAGTACTTGCTAAGATAAAACTGATATTGGCAAATGGTATTCCCTCAAAGAAAATAAAGAGTAGGTGGGCGGGGTTAGAGGATATGTTATCTGCAAAAATCAGTCTTATCTTAGTAGGTACTAGCCCCGCCCACCCACCCTCTCTTTTCTTAGAGGGTATATGATTTGCAAAAATCAGTCTTATCTTAGCCGGTACTAGCCCCGCCCAATGATCCGGGATCATTTTGCCTCAAGAAAAAGGGATCATTTCGCCTTAGGTAGCATATCCGCATTCAAAAATTGTAAACTAACCTTCAATTTTTACCTGCGGTAAAAAGATCATAACTAACCTACGACTGAAATGTATCTAATTCTGTCAAAACAACTACCACCGCTATAAGACCTTTCAAATGGAAGTAATGGACTTTTAAAATATATCTTACCTTAGATCAGAGGTGCTTATTTTACATATTTTGGCACAAAACTGTGCAGAATACACAGACCGCCATCAAACTTTCAGAAGCTACTAATTACAGAGCGCTTAATCAAATGACATGTTTGGCAGATGGAGCCACAAATTTTCTTACAATTGATGGGGATCATTTGACCTGAGGGGATCATTTTAGGCACTTTTCCCCTACTTATGAACGGATAACAAAATTGATAGTTTCTTAGATCAGGTGAGGTTAGATCAGGTCATCAACATAAAATTGCTACAAACAACAAAATAAACTATTGAAAAATGCTATAAAAAGGTCCAAAAAACAGAAATCGGAAGAGTTGTACCAGGAGATACAAAAATTTATTCAGGGATGCTATCGAATAGTGGTTAAAAAGTTCGGACTTAATATAAACGTGGTACTAGATAAAGAAGAAGAAAAGATATTCTTAGAGGAGTTTCCTCCATGTAAAAATGTTAGACATGACAAAATTAAAGGAGAGAATGACAGAGGACCGGGACTCAACAGTCTTACACCAAAAGCTATGTGGTGGCGATCGAACTACATATATTAATTTTATTCTAGAGCGCAGCAAAATTACCCATAGGGAGCGTTGTAGCACGAGCGGAGTTTGGGGCTCCTGGTCGTGGCTGTTCTCCTAC